CCAAAAGGACAAAAAAATAATGAGACCTTATTTATTTTTTATTAGACTTGTCCGTCAACAATAAAATTGGGTGTGGAGCGTCATATCCTGCATTTGTCTCGGTAAACAAGGGTGCTCGTGCTCCTGTAGAGGATACTGATAACCTGGTGATGATCACGATGAGTCATGTCCGATACATGCATTACTCTAACCCCTTTGCATCCAAATTCAAATGGTTTATCAGTCAAGTCAAGTATCAACGGCAAAGTCAAAGTCGAAGTCAAAATTTCTTTATTTGTTTAGACTAATAAATAGTTCTTACAAATCGTCATTTTGCTCTTAAGGAGCCTCTACATGTCTCATAATCTTTTTACCCTACCAGCGCTTCGAGACCAACATTTGGCAAGTGCTGAGAAGAAGCGCCGCAACAAACTCAGTCACCACTGTCTGCCGGTTAATATAAATAAATACTAGCTCTAAACTTAAAGGAGATTCCTTTTTAATGTAGGAAGTGAATAATCTGGTAATTTTGTGTAGAAAATACTCCCGCCGTCGCGGTAGGTAGTGGCGGAAAGCGCTCCAATACACTCACACACAAATAGGAAACAGCAAACTAATTTAAAACGAACTTTAACTTTAGTTAGTCAAAGAAAAATACCTATTTACACTAACTACCTACTTTACGTGGCTTCCTTCAGGGCTTCAGTAGACTATCCAACATGATAAGCGGAGCGATCCGCGTAGCTCGATGGGTGCCACAATGTAAACGTATTGCATTATTGCGAGCCATAGTACAGTTGATGTTGCACGGAAAATATTCGCTAAAAATTCCACTTTCGTTTGTAATTTTTTTTTTGGTGGATAATGCGTTTATGTAAGTCATAATATATCACCTAAATAAATATGGCGAGTATTGAAATCAACACCCTGTATAAGTAGTAGTAGTAGTAGGTACATTCGATTCAGGAGCAGTTCACTGAATTTACCATGCATTCTTGTATGGTGTATCTTATAAGAATGGGTATACAAGATTGCGTGGTATATTAAACAAGGTAGTGACGTGCTAATATCTAGACTTACATATTAAGATACTAGTAGAAATGACTCGCATACATAAATTTGAATAACTTGGATTGACCAGTCCCCGAAAGCAGCTTAAGAAAGTTATCAGTCAAGGCACTTAAACAGGTCCCAAATAACTTGCTCTACTTGGTGACAAGCTCCGAGATTTCAAAAACCTCTTTGGAACTACATATCAGCTCTTGCTGAGAAGAGTAATGTAGCTTGACATCTGTTCTCTCCTTATTTTGTGGCTAGGGTGCGCATGCGGCGAGAACCGGGGCATTACCGTAACTGCGCCGTAAAGTGGCTGCGGCCCATTTTGCGGTCACACCGATGGCCGATCGATTCACTATGCTATGGCGGTGAATGCGGATGCAGATAACTATGGAGAAACGAGTTAATCTTGGAAAAATATTTTAAAAATTAAGTGTCCGTTTCCGAATGACTCGTGGAATTATATCCATAATAGACATAAAGCTCAGCTCAGAAAATAGGCTAAAGCTATATCTAGTACCTATACTTACCAAAAATTGAAGGAAATACTAATTGATTTTGTAAGAAAATGTGCTTCGATAACCACAATCAACGAAATGTAAACGAAATTTTGACGCGAAAGATATGACTGTTCAAGTGATATTTTTATATGATTCTGACTATTCTCACATATGAAGATTCAGTCAGGCGAGTAAGTACCACTTGCGACGCACCGGCGCGTGCGCACAGGTATTGTAATTGAACTGAAGTACTGAACCTTGTCTCATGTACAAAATGTAAATAGAGAGTTACTTGGTAAGGTGCCGATTTAATTCCTGATTTAAAGAAAAGTAGAAAGTTAAAAGGACAATGACCAAAAATGTATGGAGTGTGGTCCAAATGTCCACCACTAATGAGACCTATATTGGCTTATAGTCCATTAAATAGAGATTAACTTTCAGTATGGGACGAAAAAAAAATAAGCTGTCAGTAAAAAGTTATGACTGAATGAAAAGTCATGTTTTTTACCTTTTCATCCGAAAAATTTTCTTGATAACATTCTATTTATCGCACATTTTGGATTAATCTATACATGTTATGTCATGTCGCTTAGTGTGCCATGTTAGATTCTCGCTAAAAGAAAAAAAAATAAGCTCAGAAGAAAGACATCAATATTGGAATTATGGTCGGGTGGTCGCTGCTCCGCCCCTATTGGTTTTAGGGTGATGTTATATAACCTAAAACCATCCTTGATAAATGGGCTATCTATAACAAAAATAATTTTTCAAATCGGACCAGTAGTTCCTGAGATTAGCGCGTAAACTACTACAATTTTTCATACGGTCATAACTTTTTACTGACAGCTTATTTTTTTTTCGTCCCATACTGAAAGTTAATCTCTATTTAATGGACTATAAGCCAATATAGGTCTCATTAGTGGTGGACATTTGGACCACTTTTGGTCATTGTCCTTTATGCATTGTATATTCTACTTGCAAATTAACAGATAACAATTAACAGCTTCTCTAACAAACCCTTAAAGTAAGAACGGAAAAACAGAAAAAACATCGATAACGCTTAACTACTGATAATAATTATTCATTTAATAGAGTTATTACAGCTGTAATTGTTATTATCAGGCCCAATTAAACGCAGAGTTAATAAGACAATGAGAATGACATCATTGTCATCACGTCATTTGACGGTTAAAAATTTACATAAACTCCTCATACTGATCAAGTTGTGACCGGATTAGATGGCGACGATTTGAAATATCCAAGAATATTTACTGCACAGGGCTTGCCTGCGTAGACTTTAAAGCCTCTGTCACTCAAAAATATTGTAACCTATCTTTCTATCGGTGAAAGAATTTTCAAAATCGCTTCAGTAGTTCCGCAAACTCCAAAATCAGCGCAGTACTTTCAGATATTTATTCCTACAAATAAACTCACAAACTGTACCTCTTTTTAGTGTAAATAATTTCCCTATTCAGCCAGAATGTGTTAATCAGTCCAGTTAAAGCCCGTGATGATTCCCGTCGTCAATTAACGCCGTAATGAGCTAATGACATCACCCGTCACGTGACTTCACGATCAATTGCAAAAACACATAAAACGACTGTTTTTCCTACAACTGATTGCTTGCGAGCGGAAACAATATATTTAGACGACGCATTCATGGGTTATTATGCATAAATTATGTATCTAATATTGTTAAGTTAATGAATTGAATATTTTATGTTTGATTTACGTGTCTGGAATTAACTAGACTTCAGAACGACTTTGTACTTCTTTTCAGATAATCAAATCGCAATTTCCTAATTAAGCTGGGAACAGTTTTGAGCCAAGACACCACTTCGAAAATGTTTATTATTATGAAACAAGATATTGACATTGCCAGTAAATTCTTATCAATATGAATAACTTCTGCAAAGATAAATGACGCTAAATAATATTATGTAGAGTAGTCTAATATGTTTCGTTTGGAGTTCAATTGTTTTTGAAGTAATAAAATTAACTGTCGGAAGAGGTTTTGACTGATAGATAGAGGCGGCTTTGCAGTTTGCAGTTTAACCGGGAGATAAATCAGCGCAGACAGATCCAAAGCTCAGATATGATATTAGTCTAATTAATTATAGGCTTAATGATGGGGAACACTCTAATAACGCACCGCACACGCAACGAAGGTGTAGACATATTTGCAAGGAAAAACACCAGCCATTACACCCAATTACAGGTGCAATTTTTTTATCGCTGCGCTCGACTGAAGTATTAACGATAAGATATCCGAGTACAAACAGTTTTTTGCATACAAAACTGACCCTTCTCACCAAATCTTAAGAACTATAGCGATATTGCAAAACCTATCATCGTTCTTCGCAATTAGTGCTAATGATATATCACAGATTAACCTATTAACAGATATACTCGTACATTATACACCTTAGTTTTTATGGGACCAAAGAATGCATTTTAGATAGCCAATCTGAAGTCTTACTGCGTCGGGGCTTACGTTCTTAATGCTTAAAATGCATAAATCTGGTACACAAGGAACTAAGATAATTATAATATGATATCCGTTATGTAACACATATTTAAATAAATTTTAGCTGCATAAAAAGACGAGACTTTATTAAAAGCATTTAGATTCTCTCCACTCATAAGAATACAATTGGAAAAGCCAGTCTGAAAAATACGAATAAAGCGATAAAATAGTGAAAATTCTACATTTGTGTATCATGCATGCATGAATAAACAGATAAATAAAGAAAATAAAAAAGATTATTTATTACATTCGAGTAATTAGGTAGGTACTTCAAACGTGGAACTGTTAGTTCCTTAATTTTTACTTTCTTTAATTTTTTTCAATACATTTTTTATGAATCACATCATTTTTTGGCCTAAATGTTTATGGAAACATAGGTCAGTTAAATCTTCATCGGCCGGTAGCTGTATGTCCTTGATATCGATAGGTCTTACACAGGTGTTACATTATCACTATTATAACAATTCAACGACCTTTGTTATCAGATTTCATCTCGCTCTCAACGGAGATTCCCTTCTTGTTTGTAAACTAATGAAGATACGAGTAAATCGTGTAAAAGAAGGTAAGGTACTTTGTAATTTTTCCCTAAAGTACATAGTCTTTATTTTCATGTTTTTGGTTTATTTTTATTTTACTTTTTTACAACCAAGTACTTTGGATGCATCAGTGTACTAAATTCCATACGCTTTATCATTATTTTCTTGTAATTGTAGTTAATGATAACCTACTACATACAACTTTTATAAGTGGGTGTTGTGTAACTTTGTTTACATCTTTTTACGGACAAAGGTCGCCGCCGCGACCCTTTAACCTTAATAATTAAGTGTGGCCGAATATCGACGTGTTCCGGACCGACTTCATTCCGTCTTTTTTTCTTTTTTATCAAAGTTTCAATATTTTGATTCAAAACGCAAAATATTAGCATAACTAGTGCAACTCACCGCGAATTTCTGCGATGTGTGAGTCATATTCCGATTTGCTCCTCATGTAGTCCTTGCGAGGAGCGGTGTGCAGCGCCTGGTGCTTGTACTCCGAGTACCACTCATGCTGCGGCGACTCGGCGCGCTCCTGCCGGCTCTCCGACACAGTTTTCTTCACAACTACCCGCTCGAATTTGACGAAACGCATGCCAGAGGCAAGATCGCCCTCTTCGACCTGCCTCTCGAAGCGCTCCACCTCCTCCGTCGGCTCCACATGACGTAACTTCAAATTAGGGAATGTACTCTCATAACTTTTGCTCGGAGATTCAGTGTCACGGGTTTGCTTAAGTTTAACTTCGATCCTGGGGGATTCGGGGCGCCTCTTGCGCTGTTCTATGCGGCGCTCGATGTCGTCGACGTCGATGGCGGCGTCGACGGTGTCGTGGCCGGCTTGTCCTGTCCATACTTTCTCGAAGAAGGATACGCGGTCGCGGAGACCGGCTTGCGACGGTGAGTCGCGGCCGTCAGACATGGCAACATGACCGTCCTGCGCGGAGGCTCGCTCGATACTGTGGGCCGCGGGCCGGCGATGCAGCGCAGTACGCCGGCGCAGCCACGTGCGCTTGTAGACGTGGGCTAGACGAGCTTCGGCGAAGCCTCCGGTGGCTGTTGCGATCTCTCGAGCATTGCTGCCGCCCTGGTACTCTGGCAGCCGACCCGCAAAGCCTTTCGTCCGCAAATGGATCTTTATGTAACTTACAGCAAAGTTTAATTTTGTGAAACTGTTCTCGACGGTTCTCTATCTAACATACTCCTACTGAAATTTATTTTCCTTGGTTTCATGTATAGCCTTGTATCGCAAATTTTATGATTGGCCGGTAGCAAAATAATTTCAGTGTTATCTTTTCCTTATTGTTTCGTTGTCAAGGTAAATAAACCATGTAATGTTCTCTACAATATTTTCATTGTTCTTATCTTATCTGTGATTCAGTTTGTAATTGGCTATTGATTTTAAGTTCTAGCAAAGTCCACCCTTTTCATTAATAAATCCAAATTATTACTCATCCCTATATCATAATAACACTGAACATACTAGGTTTCCTGTAACAGTCATACTACGGATGATAATCTTCATTGGATTTCAAAATCAAAAAAATCAAAATCAAAAATATTTATTCAGTTTAGACCACAAGTGGCACTTATGAACGTCAATAGAAAATAATAAAAAAAGAAAAAGGTAGCCCTTATTCTTTTTTTATTATTTTATCCAAATGTTTTCCCTAATATGTAGAGCTGAATTTACCGTGTTCCTTTTTTATGAGCTGTTATTAATCAAGTCCTGAAACAAGGACTTTATGGCGGGTAGTCACGGAAGTGATCGGATCGAATGAAAAGTGGGTGATGAAAAATGTATGATGCACCTACCTACACAGTCGCAGTAGAGTAGCATATTTACGTTGTTTTTTCATTGTTTCAACTTATAACAATAGATGTGAGGGGTTTTTTATCCACCACCATAGTATTCAAACTAACCAATAAATATTTATAAATGAAAGTAACATCAGATAAGATTGGGGTTAAATTATGTCCTTTCGAAAATTTGATGTCACTGAAAACTTTTCTTGGAGCGCTATCAATAATTCCAATGTTTACCAAAACATACCATCTCATTTTCTAAATAGGATGAATGTTCTATACTTATACCTATTATAAATGAAATAGACAAGGTAGAGAATCCATTATCATAGACCAATTCACATCTAGCGTCATCCAGGGTATCTTATTCACCATAAATTCACCATAACGCAGGATCAACGTATTTTGTTGATGACTAATAAGTTAATAACTGATTCAGTTGCCATGACAATAAATCCCCATACAGTACTTTGACCTGGATAAGTATTCAACATTATTCGGCTGCTCCATGACATGATATATTGAAAGCAGATTCAGATAATGTACCATATGTGCATGTGGATTGAGTGATCCTTGCTTCAATCTTAACAAAAATCGAGGAAGTTTTACTTAAAATATGTTAAAACATTGCGATGAAGTTTAAAAATTTGTTAAACCTAAGATAAAAATGTTATGGTCAATAAATAGGAGCACTCATACCGCACGCTTTAAGAAAACGTCAATGTGTTTATTTCAGAAAATAAAGCCTTTCCACTTCTTTTTTTAGTATTGAAAAATTGTTAAGATTATGTTAAAACTATTAACAAATTCCGAAATCCCTTGCACGTCCCGTTCCAAAGTTATGACGATTATTTAGGATCACTCACACCGCACACGGGCCGTATGAGTGCTCTTCAAAATCATGACTATTTATTAATAAATATGTTTTATTTCTGTTGGGAAATGTGTGCAAACTGACGAGCGAATTTGTTAAAGAATAAGTGTGACAAAACTTAAAAGCTGAAGGAAGAAATTAACCTTTATTCTTTCCTCCAATATGCCGTGTGAGTGATCCTTACTTTTACCTCTATCTGCTCATATGTAGTTCGTAGGCAGACTGAGTTAGTATCTAAAATTGTAATCGTTGCACTATTGCAAGAAGGGCTCAGCCAGGGCTGTCGCACGTCAGATCCACATTTAAGCCAGTCTTGAGTTTCGAAAGTTTTAAGACGCTTTCGGGAGACTGGTGGCTTTACCCCGAGACCAAGTTCTGAACTGCGTCGGTGCACATCGCAGAGGAATGACCGTTTTTTCATGTCAACCTCTCTATGAAATCGTCATTTGACTGGTATCGACGTCCAGCAAGAGCTTTCAATTGGCTCGTACACGTCCTTAGGAAAACTTCTGATGAATCGAAACAGTCTCACAAAATAAAAAATCATATACATGTACCCTAATCAACATTTTCCTTTAGGAATCATCTAAGCCTGATATTTCTTAAATTATGGCCTTAATAAAAGCAAAATATATGCCAAGTAATTGTTAAAAACGATTAACAATTTTAGATACTAACTCAGTCTGCCTACGAACTACATATGAGCAGATAGAGGTAAAAGTAAGGATCACTCACACGGCATATTGGAGGAAAGAATAAAGGTTAATTTCTTCCTTCAGCTTTTAAGTTTTGTCACACTTATTCTTTAACAAATTCGCTCGTCAGTTTGCACACATTTCCCAACAGAAATAAAACGTATTTATTAATTTAAATAGTCATGATTTTGAAGAGCACTCATACGGCCCGTGTGCGGTGTGAGTGATCCTAAATAATCGTCATAACTTTGGAACGGGACGTGCAAGGGATTTCGGAATTTGTTAATAGTTTTAACATAATCTTAACAATTTTTCAATACTAAAAAAAGAAGTGGAAAGGCTTTATTTTCTGAAATAAACACATTGACGTTTTCTTAAAGCGTGCGGTATGAGTGCTCCTATTTATTGACCATAACATTTTTATCTTAGGTTTAACAAATTTTTAAACTTCATCGCAATGTTTTAACATATTTTAAGAAAAACTTCCTCGATTTTTGTTAAGATTGAAGCAAGGATCACTCAATCCACATGCACATTGTACCATTGTAATTTTATTCATATTGTGTGGGTACTCATTGTCCTGATATGAAATTTCTTCAATAAGTTGTTGGCGTCGTTGATATTTTTTTACTAATGCCACACTGTATTATATTTTTATCGTTTTAACACACGACGTAATTTCCTATCCAATTTTAAATATTTTTGATTTGGGTATTTAGTATTGCAGAAGAAGAATTATACATAATTTATCTTTTATTGCATAAAACTTTATAAGAGGTACAATGTGTGTGTAGATCCCATCATTTCTTCTCAAGTTACATGTAGGTTATGTACCTACTTAGTTTACGTAAGAAAATTCTACGGCAAAATAACGAATTCCCCCTATAGAATATGGACTAATGGATATAGGTCTAAAATCAGTCGGAGTTCTAGTGACTTATTATGGTAGTTTGCTCTGTTGTACCTACTCTAGCTACAGCCTGTCGTCGCGGTAGGTCCAATCCATGATGGCTAGCTTTCTATTATTCTAGTAGTGAAAGGTATTTTCAGTCCCATGGCAACGTCTAGCGCTTGTACACTGCCAGTATTGTTTCCCTTTTAAGCCGCTTTTACCTGTCGTCAGATATTGACTGTGTTATATTTGACATTTCATTTCGTGATTGCTAGAGCTACAATCATACGTAGCTTTTGTCTCAGATGGATACTAATTATTTTAATGTAACATAATGTCCTCATGAACATGATGCTTAATTTCCACCTGCTTTAAATTTGTAACCATCTATAGATTAGGCTTAATTAAATATTATTCCTAATCCTAAGCCACACATAATCGTCGTACCTATTAAACGATTTTCACCTAACTCTTAAAAACAAAAGTAACGACGAAATCTATAAAAATGTAACTGATGACAAGATTTTTAATATTTATTTTCAATTAACCGAATGTACTCGTAATTAAGGTACACGTTGAAATTTGCCATGAGTTCATTGGTAACAACTACTCCATTCATTCATCAAAACATAACACTTCCGACGCAATTCGACTAATTTCGGGGCATTCCGAGAATTGATGAAAATCAGCTGTAATTGTATGTTGTCCCTTTCTATCCCTTTGTATTTGGTGCACCCATCTCTGTCTGACCAGGGGCCTGATGCGAGTCCCTTAGGGAGCTGCGCAACAGACGGTGGTGACCTACATACAACCCTACCTAATAACAAATAATGATACCTTTACTTCAGTGAAAGTGATAGGGTAAGAAAAAAACAAATAAAAATAAGTTTTGCAAACTGTCAAAAAAACATTATCAAGTTAAATTATTGTTTAATAAGTGAAAATACCCTAAAGAGATCTTTTACTAAGCCGAGTGTACGTTTGACCTCAATCTCAGTAGATACTGAAAATGAGTTTTAAGATGGAACACGTTTACTCAGCAAAATTTATTTACTTTTAAGAAAATTAATGTAAAGACACCCAAGTTACGAGTAGAGTTCGTAACCTTTTGCACGATTAACTTTTAGTTAATTAATGTTCCGAAATATGGCTTAATTAATTAAGCAACGAAATACAATAGTTGTGATTTATCTTATTACAAAATTTTATGTTTCAAACTATCTTATAGCAGTCCCAACTCAAGAAGAATTGATAAATCATTGTGAAACTATTGACGAATGAAACGGAGAGAAAGTAACGCTAACGAACTTTTGTAATGACGCGGTCTCGTTAGAGCTTACGCAAAAGCTCTTAGACTGTCTCCTACACAAAAGCTTTTTGCCTAAAGCTTATTGAGACATCCTTTTTGATACAGGCGACTATTTCGCGTCTTCGCTCTTATAAATTAATCTTAAATATACGTGTTGCAAAGTTTGTGCAGTTCTCGTGTGCTTTTTTATCTGGTACGTTGTATTCCAGAGTATTTATGTGTGGCCAAAGCTTTTAAAATGTTTTTTATCCCTCAATCCTTAGAGAAGTTATGCAACAATCACACCAATAACTTTAAGCATAGCTTACCTATCAATTAGATTTTATATTAAAGTTTTCCCCTATCAGGATTTAAACCGGTGTCCATGTAGTCTTCCGTGAGCTTACCGGTCCACACGGTCATCAAAATAAGCTTGAGCGATTAGGAAACTTATTCTAGTAGCTTTATCTGTAGGTAGGTTTAAACTCATTTTGACTAACTGTAACGATTTCACGTTATATTAGACGTAGCGTGGGCAGGCCTCCTACTAGGTGGACCGACGATCTGGTAAAGGTCGCGGGAAGAGCCTGGATGCGGGCAGCGCAGCACCGTTCATTATGGAAATCCTTGAGGGAGGCCTTTGTCCAGCAGTGGACGTGATTTG